ATATATATATATATATATATATATATGCGTAGTTGACAGTAAAAAAAAAAAAGCTTTTTTTGTAAAAAAAAAAAAAAAACTTTTTTTAACGGCAAAACAATTATTTCACACTGGGAACGAGCCACTTCACACTAACTTGATGCTGTGTTGCTGTGAAAAGTAAACTGTCCCATTAATAAAATCCATTATTATACCTGCCATAAATATTATCACATTAACTATCCATGAAATGTCATACATACATCATGCTACACGAGGCTTTGTGTGATTCAACCGTACGTTTCATTCATCACTAGGAACACACAAGCAAGAGATCCATAAACAAAATCCAGCCTCCTGTGAGGCGCAGGAGATGTGAGGTGGCCGACACTCTCTGACAGCATCTCAGAGAGGGACCGCTGAAACCAGCCCCTCCGGCAACCCATTTATTTTTAACTTTCCCTCATCCCACCATCTGCAAAAAAAAGCTCCCGGCTCTCCATTAGTGTGGTCACGTGCCGTCAGCGATGCACGGGCCAGTGGATGGCAACAAGGGACCAAGAGTCCCCTCTCCACATATCCAATCAACTGATGCCCAGAACTTACATCTTTACCTTGAGGGTCTGTGGTTAAATCTAACATTTCCATCAAACTAGCTTGGACAAGCTTAACTTCTGATTTTAAAAAGCTGGTCAATATTTGACTATATGTTGTTTAAGCTGGCTGGTTATTTTTCAGGTACAGCTTGACCAGTATAACACTGATGACACCAAAAGCCCAAAATGTTTGGCTACTGTATGTTTACATAAATGTAGATTTATTAATATGGAAAGCACATTTCAGATATTTCTGTCTTGGATGAATTTAATGAGAGATTTGAGTTCATAATGAGATTTCTGACTTCTGATTGCAGACTTCTTGGCAAATCTAAAGGGAATTGTGAGTTGTGGTTAAGATCTTCTCTGAAAGAAGATCTGAAAGTAGAATATGAGATAATTTGGGTCTTTTTCTTATGAGAAAATGGTCTAGGTTTCTATTTTCAGCCAACTGAAGATGAATCTGTTTTTTGAAAGAAAGAAATACTTTCAGTCAGCAAGGTTGCACGGATTACACAAACATATCAAGCAGCACAACCATTCTCAACTGTGAAAATAATATGAAAATAATAATAAGATATGTTTCTAGAACAGAAATCAGCATGAATGATTTCTGAAGACTGGAGTAATGATGCTGAAAAATCATTTGCATCACAGGAATATTATATATATATATATATATATATATATATTTTTTTATTTTTATTTTTTCACAATATTTCAGTACTTTTTTCACTGTATTTTTGATCAAATATATCCTTGGTGAACAAAAAAAAGTGATGTGACTTTTTTTTGCTCACCAAGGATTTATTTGATCAAAAATACAGTTAAAAAACTTAAATATTATAAATAATAAATGAATGAAGGAATAAATAAATGAATGAATGCAATTCAAAAAATGTATACTATCCACTTTAATACTATAGCTCTATATCAAAATATAATATCAAGTTAATACTTAAATGAAACATAAATGTTGCTCCAGAGACTTAATGGAGTTCTTCAAAGCGCATCCAATTGGAAAAATAAAATTCCTGTGGTGGGAATGAACATTTGCAGTTGACAAAGATGAGACAGAGAGCCAATGGATGTTCGATGGAAACATGACAGCACTGTAACACAGAAGATGGCATGTTTGTGTGTTTGCGATGCGTTATTTTGTCGTGCCGGTTCCAGGACTGCCAGCTGTGCCGTGCTCCAGTTTTAAAAGCTGAAGAATAGTCTCTCCAGAGAGCAAAACATGCAGTCTTAGATGCAGGAGAGGAACAGACGCACACTTTCTAGCGTTAACGCACTTCAAAAACAGCTTGGATACATTAACCATCTCTGGTTAATATTCCGAGTGTGTGGTGACCCTGATAGAGCACTGCATAAAAACTCCCACCCGTTTTGCCATGACAGTCGTGATCTACGGGCGAGCGCACGACCGTGCATGCATGTGAGACCACGGGTGTCTTTTTTACGATTCATTCTCAGAGCAATCAGGCATCTCAGCCGCTGTGTCTATTCTGTCATTACCGCTTTAATGAAGCGTGAAAGTGGCTCGCTTGCTCACCTTGAGCGTGTGTGTATGGGAGGGGTGAAGAGTGTGTCAAGTGTCCGCTGCTGTGTGTCAAACTGACTCACCAATCAGGAGAGGAGGTGGATTAGTTCATTGCTGTGGCAGTGGGTGGACTATCAGAGCTGCTCATGCGGTCCCAACATCTCTTTTCCTCTGTGCGTGTGTCAAACTCTTCAATGGGTCCTTATGCAATGGCCTAAAAAATTTACAAGCCGCTCTTAAAAATGTATGAACGTCATTGCATTCGAAAACAAAATATCAAAACAAGTGGAATTTATTTTTAACAAAGCAATGCCTCTCATCTGAACTGAACAAGAACGTAACTGAGCATGTTACCCTCAAATGTGGTGCATAATGGTCTTCATTTACCCCTAAAATCTTACTATTGGATTTAAGAACATTTTTACGTCCAAAGTAATTTGATTCAGCCTGCTTATACCATCACAAGCTTGCTTTTGAATATTCAGAAGTTTATACATTCAGGGAAAAATAAAGTGCCTTAAGTATCTGTGGAGTGCGATTTAATAGTTATATTGTTATATTATATTTATATTTTCTTTAATTTAATGTTATGTAATCATGAGCTGTCTTTTGATTTTGAACACTTATAATATATATATATACACTACCGTTCAAAAGTTTGGGATCAGTAAGACTTGTAATGTTTTTTAAAGAAGTCTCTTATGCTCTGAAAATTCAGCTTTGCATCACAGGAATAAATTATATTTTGAAGTATATTAAAACAGAAAACCAATATTAGAAATTGAAATAATATCTCACAATATTAAATTTTTTTCTGTATTTTTGATCAAATAAATACAGCCTTGATGAGCACAAGAGACTCCATTAAAAAACATAAAAAATCTTACTGATCCCAAACATTTGAACGGCAGTGTATATATATATATACACATTTATACTTAATAGTTCATAGTTATATTATTTATTTTACTGATTTTTATATATTTTATTTATAACTATATTTAATAGTTAATTTTAGATGGAAAGAAAAAATGAAAGGTGGCTGAAGTACTAGCACAGTGTGGCAAAAAATAAATCTGGGAAATGTGCCATGTAGCATAGTTTCATAAATCTATTAAAATTCACCTTGTTGGTTTAAAACCACTGCTCAATTTGGCTCAGAAAAGTGAAATTAGTTCTGAGAAAAGCTCTAGTGGCATTTATTTGCATTCAATGCCACTTGGGTTGATATTTTATTATCTAACGTAATGATTTTTAAATGTAGCTTAACCGTCCAAAAACGGTTTGGGCTACTGTTATGCTCTGTTCTCATCAGGTCCTATGGAGCCTGTGCATATCTTAGCAAGAAATAAGGACAGAGAGGAATAATCACATGGCTGTTCTGTCTCTGCAAGAGTTTTGGCTGTGAATCAAACCTCCCCAACACACATTCTCCCTGTCTCTATCTATCTAAAGGCCTGCTCTCTTGCTTTGCTGAAAGAGCGCTCCCAGGGGGCTCAGCGTTGTCTGGTTTAGGGGAGAGGAAACTCTCTGACTAGGCTGGGTACGATGCAGGAGGAGGGTAAGTGGCGCTTGGCTCGTGGTGCTGCTTTGAGTTTTTTCTCTCGTGTTCCCCGACTCCCTCTGGCCGTGGCCGTAGAGCTCTGGGAGATGTGAAGGGTGATGAATGAAACGGTTTGTGTTTTGGGAGGAGTGGCGTTCCCTCCTGAAACCTTTCAGCAAGACGTGCCATCACTCATGGCTGGCCGGCCAGGAAAGCGTAATCCAGGTGCCGCTGGCTGGTGATTTTCAGCCAGTTTTTTTGGCAGACTGCTCAACGCAATGGATAATAGAGTGTGACAAAAAAACAGGACTCAGCGGTTGAGATACGTTTCTCCTTCCATGAGCCTTTGTTTGTCTGCTCAATGCAATGTAACAGTTTAACTCTACAAATAAGCTATGGATCAATCCAAACCAGAGGGCAAAGTTTGAACCAATATTGAGTACAAATTCAATAAATCGAAAGCCTCTGCAAATTTATCTTCACTGCATTCAATCCTTTGTGGGGCTCAAACAGCATTCCTATCAAACAAACCTGAACCACTCCTAAAACCACAGAAATGGCAGATTGATAAAAAAAAGTGTGTGTGTATAGTGTGTGTGTATATATATATATATATATACATACACACACACACACACACATATTTGTTTGTATGTTTGCTCAACGGTGTGTGAGATTTCTTTCTTAAATCCTAAAATCAAGAATGTCCAACTAAGCAATTTAATGCATGCTAAATGCAACAAAAATAACAGAATGAACAGTCTAACTGGATCATATTATGCATATTCTTCTTTTAAATTGCACTGTTTTTATGTATTAAATTGCACTTAATTAAATGTTCAATGCTGAAGATTTATGTAATATGTCAGGCAGGGTCTAGTTTCTTTGATTTGTGTATCAAAACACTCTTATGAACATTTTCAATAATTCAGTAAAAGGCCACCAACACAGATTAATCATGTTTAATAAAAAAAAAAAAAATCTTCAATTTAGAATCAACACTGACCTTGTAAAGTAGTCCAATGCTAAGTTTAAACTGTTTCTAAGATGCCGTCATGCTATGAATTGTGTATACATATGTGATATGCGCAATAATTTTTAATTAAGACTTCGTAATGGGTTGAATCAGAGTGTCAACAAATTGTCACCCTACATTACATTAACCTTTGATATGATATCTGGTTGAAAGTAACAGTTATTTGACCCTGAATTCTTTACAGTCACTGTCATTTATCTGGCATTGAGAAGCATGAGGGACACGACCACCTCCTTACGCTCCATCTGTCCAATGTGTGATCAAGCGGCAAACTGCTGACTCCGCTTAAGTCGACATCCTACTATAGCAGACTCGAAATAACTTGATTTGGGTCCAGTTGTCACACCTACCAACAAACTGTTTTTGCAGCACTTATGAAAAGAAAAAAATGGTTAAAACGGCCTAAACTGATTTGCAGGTCTCTCAGCCTGGCCAAGCTGGTGTTTTGCTGGTTTAGCTGATCAAAAATGGTGAAAACTTCTCTAAAACCATCAAACCAGCCAACTGAGACAAAAAAGGAGAGCTTTCTCACCAGGATGATCATACTCACCAATTAAGATCAGTAGACAGGTGACAAACTTGCTGATACTTCTCTCTCAATTCCTGTCATGGACTCCAAAATGATACCAGAAGCACCTTGAAAGCAAGTGTAATGGATTGAATCAGGATGCAAATGATGTTGAAATTTTACCTTGTGAAACTGAAATTACCTTGTTTGGTTTGGATCTGAGCAGGACAATGGCTTGTTAGTTTTTCAGTATGAGAAGAAGCTCATAACATCATGTTGGAAGACGTCAGAAAGGTCAGCAGGGCTATTAAAGAGGAAATTCAACACTGAAAAGATAGACAATTTTTATCAAAAGCCTATCTATGCAGTATAAAGGCAAAATGTTTTTGAAATTTATGTTACATTACTAGAGAACACTGAGAAAAAGGACTGTGGCATTGCCTATTGCCAAAAACGTCAACACCCATAAATGTATGTAAAGCGAGACCAAAGATCAGTTTCCAGCTAAGGCTGGACAAAGTTTAGAGTTTAATGGTATGTTTACAACAACAGCGATATACTAATAACATAAAAATTTGTGTTGTCAAAACAATCCCACTCACAAGCATCCATGAAAATGACTATAAATGCTTTATTATGCATGCCAGGCCAGTAGTTGGCGATGTTACTTTGTAAAAAGTCACTACGCGCTTGCGCACATATCTATAGACGAAACACGTAATACACACGTGCGTGACGTCACCATCTTCACAAATATGTACACAAATAAGTAGTTTACAGAGACAATAACAGTATCATTTTCAAAAACGTGCACTTTGAAACCCGTTTTCAAAAGTTTTCAAAATGCAGTTGTTGTATAAACGAACGGCCAAAACACATAAAAAGTTTACATTTTTTAGTTGAAAACGGTGTCGTTTAAATGCCACCTCAAGTTTAAAGTATATAATGTACTGGGTTCGATCTGTGAGCATTTTATGTTATCTGATTGTTTATGTTGACTTGTGTCAACAAATAAATGGGAACATCTTGGTGCAGGTAGCATGGAAAAAAGAATACACATTGTTCGTTCACGTGTAATACTGACAATGACTTTGTATGTAACAATACAAAGCTAGTTGAAAATAGCTTCAAGAAGACTACATAAATAAAACTTACAACTAAAGAGATGTCATCCTTACTGTATCTCCAGTATGTAGGCTACTCTCTCAGAAAAAAAAGGTACAAAAACTGTCACTGGGGAGGTACATTTTCAAAAGCTAGCTACATTTTTGTATCTTATTTACCCCTAAAGGGTGCATATTACTACCTAAAGTGTACCTTTTGAAGGTGTACAACCCCAGTCTCAACTTTTGTACCTCTTTTTCTGAGAGTGTGGGACTAGAGAAGATTCAATAATCTAAATGAAAGGATCGGTTGACCCTGCATCCTACATCGTCACTGCCACTGACAGGGTATCGTGGGGCATCTGTGATCCGGCCACCCTCTTACACTCCATCTGTCCGATGTGCATTCGAGCGCCCGGGCTGGGCTCTCAACACGCCAAACTGCTCACTCAGCTTAATTGATCTGACGATTCGCGTTTAGAACCAAGAGGATCAACTGCATCTTTGCCCAGGATTCATCCTAAGGGATCGATTTCATTTACTTCCAATCTTTGATCGGTGAAAGTAATGGCTCGGACAGAGAGCTGCACGCATGTAACCTCTGAATCTTAATCAAGCGGAAGATCACCGGTCAGTTCGAATACACATCAACGTATGGGACATTTCATCCCATTCTGAGACTTATTGTATGATCGTAATACATTCTCAACAGAAGATCTCATCAATATTTCATTTATTTGATCATATAACTAATGCCTCCTTATGTTAGTATGTTAATAATTCTCTATATTGGCCGTATTAGTCGTAGAACAGCCCGCAGTCCCATCGTGTAGCTTTAGCTTCAACAAACAGATTAATGTTGAATTGCAATTTCCTCACAGTCACCTCGATTAATAAATCCCAACATAATTTCTGCAGCTGCAGTATTGAACAGGTCAGATTATTAAAAAGCCATTTTGGCTATACATGAAGGTGATATATGAGGTCACCGGCATGAAAGGAAATATCTTAATGTTTAAGATCAACCGTGTTACGATTGTCTTTCTCTCTTTTATTCAGAGAACACACTGTGCAAAAATGTACAGGAGCCCAAGACAAGCCAAGTGTAGCCTATATTTAGCTCATGTAGGCAGAAACAGAAATTGCATTTTGTTACTTCAAGTCGATTTTCCTTTTTTGGTTCTGTCAGGGAAAATTTGCTGGGTGACATGATTTGCTAAATTGAATTCATGCTAAATGAAATGCTTAAATGTAATACACCAGAATGAGACACAATGTGTCAAATGGCGTAATATGCGCTAAAGACGCACCGCAGTTTTATATATTGACAAAGCCGCCAATTCCCGACAAAGACCTGCAACATTCATCCACAGACACTGACGAGACGTTGTTCAGATGAAAGATTGTCCTATTGAGATGGATGAGTTTTGGGTATTGTGAGGTGTAGCTTTAGCATTCAACAGGCATTAATCCGCATCCTTTGCCTTGCTACTGAATGCCGATAAATTTAAATACATCACTAAGATTGGACTTTTTATTCTCCATCCCTGTCTTTTTCATTTGAAGCCTGACATGTTTCTTGATTTAGGCTGTGATGTGGCTGCCTCTCCAAACAGCCTCTTTATGATACATCATATTGATTTCTGTGGGAATGAGATTTGTAGCGAGCAGATCGCTCGTGCTGCTGATGCTGTGCTTGTCAGATGAAGGTGGTCGTGCACCAGGAAAACGAATGGAAGGATGGTGTTTGGTGAATCTGACCCCAATACCAGGAAAACGTAAATTAAGGTGGGCTGCATATTGGCTGTATGGCGGCTATGGTCTAATGCTAGTTCCATACGGTAAACCCACAAAGCACCCGCAGCCTGTTCTCTGACTGTCTGAAGCATTTTGCACACAAAAATCGCAAGCACTGACTGAAATAACCGTTTACAATCGGAGTCGGAGTACATCAGTACACCTGGAGACAAAGTCATTTTTCAGTCAGTTACATAAGAATGTCCATTAAAATAAAAAAATAAAAAAATAGTGGAAACTTTTTTAAAGGGCAAATGAATTATACACATGAATTATATAATAAAATATTCTCTATAGACCTTGAATACATGTGATTGTACACAACTTCATTATTATTTTCAAACCTATAATTTATATAAAACAAATAAATAAATATGAATAAATATATACAGTATATATGCATTCATAAAATAAAAAATACTTTTTGTGTGTGTGTGTGTCTGTGTGTATATATATATATATATATATAGAGAGAGAGAGAGAGATTTATGGAAAGAGGCAAAAACGTCATCTTTCATCAGTCATTTCACTCAAATATGTTTTTATCAGATCCTGATATATCGTACAGATTAGTTCGAGAGTACAGATTGGATATTTTTCAACCACAACAAGAGCACTGTAAAGTTTACCAAAGACTAAATACTCTGAACCACAAAGATCAAAACATATTTTTACATTTTGCATAGTCATATATATATATATATATATATATATATAAAGTTTTTTTAATTTATCGATTCATAAATATAATTTATGAATTACAGTTTCGACACCACGTGAACTAAAAAAATTATTGAATTGAATTAATTGAAAAAAACATGCTCATAAAAAGTTATTGTATTAATAAATTCTTATGCCAAAAAAATTATGTATTTTTATGAATGTAAAAAATTAATGTAATTTAACCTTCATTAAGCCTTTAAAATATAAATACTATATTTAAATATAAAAACTATATTCATGAGGAGAACTGTATATTTTTAAATTGTTAATTATCAGTAATCAGTGTTTACAGTTACTAATTTTAGATTACTATACACTTCCTTTACAATGATAGACATTTTGATCAGCACTTCTTTGCAATTAATTTAAACTGATTTTTTTCCCCCACATTCTGCCAAATATTACATATAAACCTGTCCTTAAACAACACTTAAATCCAAAACAAACAGTTTTTGACTTTACATTAGCAAAATTATCTGTTGAAGCTGGTTAACCAACATGACCTTGCTGGTTAAACTAGTCAAGAACCCTCTTTCAGACACCAGCATCCAAAAGCAGGCCAGCCCAGATGTTAAACCACAAAAACACAAGCCTAGGTAAACCATAAACACTTTTTCACACATTTTTTTCCCCTCAGTGTGGCAGTAGTTGGCTTATACACATTGTGTGCATGGTCGAGTGGGACATTCAATTAATTAGACCAATTATCCTCTCTGGAAAACATTTAGTCAACGTTCAAATCAAATTCAATCAGCTTGACTGAAGATGCTTGCTGCTCTTTTTTTCATGGTGTTGAGCGGAAGAGTGGTATTTATATTTTATATGGCTCTTTTTAATATGATGCTACATGCAGGTTGCCAGGTGGTGTGGAGGTGTACAGGTGTGCATAATTCATAGGTTTTTTCTCTCTTATTTTTCTCTGCGGAGGAGGAAGAGGTGGATGGAGTCGTGTAGCCCACAGAAAGTCCAGAAATCACACATGCATTGACTCCTGCAATAGTCCAACATCTTTAAAAGAGCAACATAGATTAATACTGTATGTGCATGCTTATCTGTGTTTGAGGGACTCAGGAAGCATTCAAACACATGGCTCAGACCTCTCAATTATACATTCAACCGTCAGCACTAATTAAAAAAAGCCCACGTCCCCTTTGTTGCACTTATCTTGTTCCTTCAGAATTACATGGCCTATTTTGTGAAGAATGACCTCAATATTTCATTCAAAAAGGTGAATGTGGACTAATTGGGTGTATTTATAAAAGGCTATGACCCTTTAATGCACTCTGAGACCGTGCACAGTTCTCTTTATTTCATCCTTTCTTCATACGTCTATATTATCATGTGCGCACACACTCGAAAAAGCCTCAAACTGCTATCCCACACACGCAGACAGTCAAACAAACCAGCTAACCTCCACTCTATTACTGCAAATGGTTTTGATGAGCAATGGATGCAGCTGTGTACATTTACACACAAAGAGTTTGTATGTAAAAGTATCATTAAAAATTATACACAGGGTTAGAATAATAAGAAATAGCAAATAAATAAATAAATATTTTTTTAAATAACACTTTTTTTTTTTTAAAGTGCAAATGTGATGTCTGTAATTACACATCTTATGAATAATATGCAATATT